GGTGATCCACCCGCCTCGGCCTCCCAAAGTGCTGGGATTATAAGCATGAGCCACCGTGGCCAGCCCTAATGTTCTTGAAGAATTTAGGTGAAGGGTATTTCAGCTGTAAGTTGAGGAGTTCAAAGACACTGAATAGGTAAGGCAGTATTATGTGACTAGTTAATTCCTACAGTGACCATCAAATGTGTCTTTGAAACAATATTCCTTGGCCAGGCATGCTGGCTCATGCCTGTAATTCCAGCACTTAAGGAGGCCAAGGCAGGCGGATCACCTGAGGTCAGGAGTTTGAGACTAGCCTGGCCAATGTGGTGAAACCCCATCTCTACTAAAAATACAAAAATTAGCTGGGCATGGTGGTCTGTGCCTGTAATCCTAGCTACTAAGAAGGCTGAGGCAGGAGAATCGCTTGAGCCCAGGTGTCATAGGTTGTAGTGAGCTGAGATCGTGCAACTGCACTCCAGCCTGGGCAATGGGAGTGAAGAAAAAAAAAAAAAGCTGTTGTATTTTGACCGGATGTACTATCTATTTCTTTAATAGTATGTGCTTTATGATAGTGTGTGCTTTGTAATAGTATGTACTTAACTCAGAGGATGTTCTTTTTATTCCAGATTCCCTAGCCATTTTGTCCATCCTACCTGCTCTTCTTATTCCCCATCATGTGCATTTCTTCACTTGCCAGATTCCCATTTAAATAAGACATGTATGAAGAACTATGAGAGCAAGAAGTACTCGGATCCCAGTCAGCCAGGCAATACAGTACTTCACCCAGGAACTAGACTAATACAAAAGCTACACACATCCACTTGCTGGCTGCGAGAGGTTCCTGGCAAACCTCAGCTGGAGCAAGCCCCAAAACATCCACAGGTGACGAGCCCTCAGGCCACAAAAGAAACTGGCACGAAGATTAAAGAAGGCGAACAATCTTATAGACAAAAAATCATGGATGAACTTAAATATTTTTACAATGGATTCTACTTACTTTGGATTGATGCCAAAGTTGCTGCCAGAATGGTTTGGAGGCTGTTGCATGGACAGGTCCTAACCAGACGAGAGAGACGAAGGGTAGGCAAGAATCATATTTGAGAAAGAAAATGTGAAATTAAAATGAACTATTTGGGAACTCAACTATTTAAATTCAATGTAAACTTCATCTTAAAAATCTCAGAGTAGGAATAATAACTGCTGGTGAGAACCAGCTTCTTGTCTGCAACTGACTTACTGTACAACTTTAGTCAGTATTCTGGAATTTGTTATATATTTTCCTGTAAAACGGTTTTTAAAAAAACTTTTATTTTAGGTTCAGGGGTACATGTGCACATTTGTAGAATGGTTATAATTATGTTTTTTTAATTTTTCCAAGAAGTTGAGAGGCTTCGTGTTTCAACTGTTGTTAATATATTAAGCAGATGCATTTTAAAACCCAATTTTGGCTGGGCACGATGGCTCACACCTGTAATTCCAGCACTTTGGGAGGCCAAACACAGTGAAACACTGGCCAACACAGTGAAACCCTTGTCTACTAAAAAAATTACAAAAATTAGCCGGGCATGGTGGCACGTGCCTGTAGTCCCAGCTACCCAGGAGGCTGAGGCAAGAGAATGGCTTGAACTTGGGAGGCGGAGGTTGCAGTGAGCCAAGATCATGCCACTGCCCTCCAGCCTGGAGTGAGATGCCGCTGCAAAAACACAAACAACAAAAAAAAAAACTTTAAGTGATACAATGCTATTAAAGTATGGACCCTCTAACATAGATGAAGTCTAGGAGATGCCAATAATATTTTTATTGTCGTAGACTTCCTTTAAGATATCCCATAAAAATTGCTTCAGAGCTATGGTAAACAGGAAAACCCTGCCTTTTCGTTTTTATAAACAGCTGCAGAAAACCTGTCTTGGGTTTTTAACACTTTAAGAACCAAGCTGAGCATGGCGCATAGGCCTATAATCCCAGCTCCTTGGGAGGCTGAGGTGGGAGGATTGCTTGAACCCAGGAGTTTGAGGCCAGACAGGGCAACATAGCAAGACACTATCTCTTGAAAGAAAGAAAATGAACCAAGACAGGGTTTTTTTGGTTTTGTTTTTGATTTTTGTTTTTGGCATGCCCTAAAATAATGAATATTGCATATGCATTTAATTCTATAGCTGTTGAGAACTTGTGTTGATTTCTTCCGCCTGGTTCCATTTATGGTGTTCATAATTGTACCCTTCATGGAATTCTTATTACCAGTGTTTCTGAAACTCTTCCCAGAGATGTTGCCATCAACTTTTGAAAGTGAATCCAAAAAGGTATGTAGGATTTTTTAACTTTAATAAAATTTAATAAACTTTATTAGAGGAGTTTTTAGGTTTACAGAAAAATTGGGTAGAAAGTACTACTTCTCCCCACCCCACCCCATCACAATTTCTCCTGTAATTAATATCTTGCGTTAGTGTGCTATATTTGTAATGATTAAAAAGCCAATATTGATATGTTATTATTAAAGCTCATACTTTAGGGTTCACTCTTTATGTTGAAGCAGTTCTGTGGGCTTTGCAAATGCATAACTTCATGTATCCACCATCACAGTATCATACAGAATAGTTTCACTGCTCTAAAAATCCACGGTGGCTTACGTCTGTAATTCCAGCACTTTGGGAGGTTGAGGCAGGTGGATCATCTGAGCCCAGGAATTTGAGACCAACCTGGGCATCATAGTGAGACCCCATTTCTACAAAAAATGCAAAAATTAGTCGGGCATGGTAGCTCATGCTGTGGTCCCAGCTCCTTGGGAAGCTGAAGCAAGAGGATTGCTTGAGCCCAGGAGGTCGAGGCTGCAATGACCTATGATAGTGCCACTGCACTGCAGCCTGAGTGACAGAGGGAGACCCTGTCTCAAAAAAAAAAAAAAAAAAAATCTCCGTGCTCCACCTATTTGTCCCTCTCCCTTCTTCCCCCAACCCATGGCAGCCACTGATCTTTTTATTGTCTCTGTAGTTTTGCCTTTTCCAAAATGTCATGTACTTGGGATCATACAGTGTGTAGCCATTTTAGATTGGCTTCTTTCACCTAGCAATATGCATTTCAAGTTCTTTTCATGGCTCAATTCTTTTTATCACTGAATGATAATCCATTGTATGGCTGTACCACAGTTTGTTTATCCATTCTCCTATGAAAGGATACCTCGATTGCTTCCAGGTTTTGGCAATTATGAATAAAACTGCTATAAACACTTATGTACAGGTTTTTGTGTGGATGTAAGCTTTCAACTCATTGGGGTAAATACCTAGGAGAGTAATTGGTGGATCGTATGGTAAGGCTATGTTTAGCTTTTAAGAAATTGCTAAAGTGTCTTCTGAAGTGGCTGTATTGTTCTATATTCTTACCAGCAAAGAATGAGAGTACCAGCATTTGATGTTGTCAGTGCTCTAGACATTAGCCACGAAATAGGTGTGTAGTGTGGTATCTCACTGTTTTGATTTGCAATCTCCTGATGTCATATGATGTTGAGTATCTTTCCTGTGCTTATTTACCATTTGTGTATCTTCTTTGGGGAGGTGTCTGTTTAGATCTTTGGTCGACTTTTTTTTCTTTTTTGAGAAGGAGTCTTGCTCTGTCACCCAGGCTGGAGCACAGTGGTGCAATCTCAGCTCACTGCAACCTCTGCTTCCCGGGTTCAAGTGATTCTCCTGTCTCAGCCTCTCGAGTAGCTGGAAGTAAAGGCATCCACACTGCGCTCAGCCAATTTTTGTATTTTTAGTGGAGACAGGGTTTCACCATGTTGGCCAGGCTAGTCTTGATCTCCTGACCTCAGGTGATTCGCACACCTCAGCATCCCAAAGTGCTGGGGTTACAGGCGTCAGCCACTGCATCCGGCCCTTT